TTTTTTTTGGAGAGGTTTTCACTATAGGGCGCGTGCACTCACCAGACAGACAGAGAGAGACATAGAGACAGAAAGTGAGAAATCACCCCCCGGAGGGGATGGTCACGCCACAATCCCTTCTCCTCCATTCTCCTCTCGGGATCTTGGGCATGCACGGCGTGAGTTTTAAGCCACCGGGTCCTGGACGCGAACTGCGGTCGACTACGTGGGAGTCCAGCGACATAGCCATTATACTAACTGCTGGTTCCCATGGCTTTTCTTTTCTTTTTTTAAGAATTATTTTATTTAACTTTATTTTTTTATTTTAATTTTAATTTGACCAGAGAGGAACAGAGAGAGAGAGAGAGAGAGAAAGGAGAAGGAAAGTGAGAAAACAAGCTGCCAGGTCCAGGACTCGAACTGCGGTCAGCTGTGTGGGAGTCCAGCACCCTTAGCCACCACGCCACCTACTGGCCCTATGAATGGCTTTTTTAAGGGCTTCTCCTGAGATAGTTTCAGGGGAGGGAGGACTGGGTCACAGGATGTGGGCAAGTACAATCCTGCTGGCGTACATCTGGTTTTCGTACCTCTCTCCCCACAGGAATGTAAGCTCACTCCTTGGCTGTCTTGCCCACTGTTGTAAATGTTCTCATGCGTCATTGATGTTCATTTCTAGTGAAATGAATCTTCCCATGTCATTCCTCCACCGAAACCCCACCGTAGCTGCCCGTCAAACACAGGGCAAAATCCAAAACCCTTTTATGGCACAGAAGTTACAAGCGATAGCGTGGACAGCACCAAACAATTCTCACATCTGTGTGTTTCTCCCCCAAAGCGCTTATAGCCCCGCCCTGACTTGGTTCACCAGATGAATCTTCAGTCTTCAAAACTCAGGCCAGTGGGGCTAGCCAGCGGTGTGGTTAAGGTGGTTATGGACTCTCATATAGCTGGCTGCAGTTTGAGTCCCGGACCTGGCCTTTTGCTTTCTCGCTTTCCCTTTCCTCTCTGTCTCTCTCCAGTCAAGTTAAAAATAATAATAATAATAATAGCAAATGGAATTAAAATAACTAACTTTTAAAAATTCAGGGCAAGTACAGATCCCTCCATGGAGGTCTTATTTATTTATTTTAAAAATAATTGTTTTTTTTTAATTCTATTTATTTACTTATTTTAATTTGACCAGAGAGGTTTGGGGTGGGGGTGGGGGGGCGGTGAGGAAACAAGCTATCAGGTCCAGGACTCAAACCGCAGTCGGGGGGGCGGGCGGTGAGGAAACAAGCCATCAGGTCCAGGACTCAAACCGCACTCAGCCATGTGGAAGTCTAGCACCCTTAGCCACCACGCCACCTGCCAGCACCTTCTTGGAGGTACATAAGTATTCTCTTTGTCATAGGTCATGTGCCAGACGTGGGCTAAGTACTCGAGTACTGAGAGGGGTGAGGGACAGTTCCTATGTTTGTGAAGCTCAAGTCCACAAGGGGACAGAGACTTCAGCAACCAATTGCCCATGACAAAGCAGGTGCTTAGCAAAGCTTGCTGTATACATGAAAGCTTCTATAGCTAAAAGAACTGGGATATGAGAGACTCTAGTGTCAATCTTGGAGTTTTACCTGCTACCTCTGGGCGACCTTGGGCAAGTCAACTTCTCAGTTTGCTTTCTGTCAAGCAGGGATAATGCAGCTTCGTTGAGAGCTGCCTTCAGGCCTAAATGAAGTCATATGTGGAAGTGCCTTAGCTATGATGAATAACCACAGGAAGAAAAATGTGGTCAGAAGAGCAGAAAAATAATTTTGGAAGAATGAAGGGGAGCTCAACATGAGATGAGGAGGAAGTGAGGGTGGATAAGGAAGGGGCAGTGGTGAAAAGGTTGCATGACTGACCAGTACCATTCATAGCCACTCAGATCAGACAGTGGCACAGCGGTAAAATGCCACACTCTCTGAGGCAGTCCCCCTTGGGAAGGTTTCCAGTTCATGTCTAGAGACCTCCTCAAGTACACTGCTAGGCACATGCTTGCGTATGACCAAGGGCTGGGAGTGGATCACGGCATCAAGACCCCTCTGAGGGTGCTGTCTCTCTCATTATTTTATTAATTCATGGAAAAAAACAAATAAACTGAAAAAGGATCATCCTGACCACTCTGCTGGGTACTTCTCAGTGTTGCCTTATTTCAGGAAACTGCAGCCCTGTAAGACAGGTTATTTTATTAGCCCACATGACTAATAGGTGAAAAACTAGATCTTGAGGACCCAGCAGGTGGTAGCAATTAAGGTGCCGGACTTCCACAAGGATGCCTGCAGTTCAAGTCCCCGACCCAGCGACTTGAAACTCTTGCTGGGTATGTGTGCATGCATGTGTGTCCAAAATCCTGAGACAAGAATGAAGGAGAAAGGATTGTGGCATGGCCAACTGACCAGTACCATTCATAGCCACTCAGATCAGACAGTGGCACAGCGGTAAAATGCCACACTCTCTGAGGCAGTCCCCCTTGGGAAGGTTTCCAGTTCATGTCTAGAGACCTCCTCAAGTACACTGCTAGGCACATGCTTGCGTATGACCAAGGGCTGGGAGTGGATCACGGCATCAAGACCCCTCTGAGGGTGCTGTCTCTCTCATTATTTTATTAATTCATGGAAAAAACAAATAAACTGAAAAAGGATCATCCTGACCACTCTGCTGGGTACTTCTCAGTGTTGCCTTATTTCAGGAAACTGCAGCCCTGTAAGACAGGTTATTTTATTAGCCCACATGACTAATAAGTGAAAAACTAGAACTTGAGGACCCAGCAGGTGGTAGCAATTAAGGTGCCGGACTTCCACAAAGATGCCTGCAGTTCAAGTCCCCGACCCAGCGACTTGAAACTCTTGCTGGGTATGTGTGCATGCATGTGTGTCCAAAATCCTGAGACAAGAATGAAGGAGAAAGGATTGTGGCATGGCCAACCCCTGGGGGCAGGGGTGGAGGGTTGATTCCTTACTTTCTGTCTTTGGTGAGCTCATATGCCCTATAGCAAAAATCTCTTAAAAAAAAAAAAAAAACTAGAATTTGAACCCAGGTGACAACAAAACACAGGCACCATTGACTACCAAGGAGGACATTTGCAGTAAGACCCTCTCCCCCTCCCTCTCTCTTGCGAGTCTGCCTACTGTCCTGTCTCCTATCTTTCATTGACTCACAGAACTTGATCACTGCTCCCAACCTTTCCACTGACAGTTTCTCAATGTAAGAATCCCTTTCATTTTTATTAGTCTTGGTCCTGAAAAATCCCCCAAATCTCAATGTCTATCTCCTCACCTGTGTCCTTGAGCGAGGGCAAAGAATGGATAGTTCAAGTGGCACAAAGAAATAGAAGAGAGAAATTTTTAAATGACACATTTTCAAAATTCTTTTATTACATCTAAATGTTAAAGAGAAGTTCAGGCTGGATTATAATTTAAACTGACCAAAGTGAATGATTTGACAGGGGGCTCGTTAGGGCCCCATTTCCTTCTGTTCCCATCTACGTCCACCAGTGGTGTCTGATCCAAATCCCTTCTCATACACTTCAATCATATCACAGACGACAGTCTCTCTCATTTTAATCTGAAATGCAACAAAGACACCGGGGCTCGTGAGGGCCCCATTTCCTTTGTTTCTGTTCCCATCTACGTCCACCAGTGGTGTCTGATCCAAATCCCTTCTCATACACTTCAATCATATCACAGACGACAGTCTCTCTCATTTTAATCTGAAATGCAACAAAGACACCAGGCGAGGATGTCTTGCCAACACCCAGGATTTCTTTTCTTTCTTTTTTTTTTTTAAGTTTAAGGGTTTTATTATCAAAGTCTTGTAAAACAATTTCAGAAACTCTACATCAGCATGGCACAGACTGTAGCCTACTTTGGTTTTTACTGCATAAAAGTGAAGCTTGACACTCCTGTAACTAAGAAAACAGTTGCCTAACTACTTTGCGCATAACATGGAGTCACTGTGTGTGTAGGATTACTACTGCAACAACAGAAGAAACCGCAGAAGCAGGATCTCCCGAAACAAAGGAATGTTGTGGGAAAGGGAGCTGGTCACTCAGGATTTCTTAGGGCTGGGTGTGGCTGCGGGAGGAGGCCACTTTTCCCATACTAGCGTGGTCTTCAAATCAGTTAAAAACGGCGGCATCTCTTCTCTTTCTTCTGTTCAATAAATTTTCTCAAATACTTAAGGTTTTTGTCCATCTTGTTTAGGAAAGATTGTACCGTAGAGTCTAGAACGACTTCTGTAAAAAGAAGAGTTAGTCAAAAAAGGTCAAAACTTGGAAGATCTTCAAAACAGCATGAAGGACAGCCAGACACCTTATCCTCTAGGAAGAGAAGTATTTTTCATTTCTTCAAATATCCTCCATATTCTCATTTCACAACCTTCAAGCATCATCACTGAGTCTGAGGAAAGGCGTATAAATTGCCAGAACCCAAGGGGTGACGTGTCGAAGAAGATTCTACTCTTAGACCTCGCATGAGAAAACCACAAGCTGGGACCAGCAGTTAGTGTAATGGCTATGTCGCTGGACTCCCACGTGGTCGACCTTGGTTCGCGTCCCGGATCCAGTGGCTTAAACTCACGTCGGGCGCATGTGCGTGCGTCCCCAAGATCCCGAGAGGAGAATGGAGGAGAAGGGATTGCGGCATGGCCATCCCCCCCAGGGGGGGTGATTTCTCGCTTTCTATTTCTCTGTCTCTCTCTGTCTGGCAAGCACACACGCCCTATAGCAAAAAACTCTTAAAAAAAAAAAAAAAGAAAAGAAAACCACAAGCTCAGTGGCCCATACCTGAAAACTTCTAGGTGCTTCTTAAGAAATAATTTGCAAGAAATCTGTGTATTTGGCTATCGTCTTGATTTTGGTTTCTATCCTTGGTTTCTCTGGTCATTCCTCACTGATGGGTTAGGTCACATTAACCCAGCTGGGGTGGAATTCAACAGAACTATAAAATATCACGAGTCATGCCCAACTTATTCACCGCTACGTAGAAATGGATCTGAAGGATGGAACAAGATGAC